CGGGACGGGCGTGTCTGTGTACGCAGCGAGTCCCCTTCCGACCTCGTAGAGCCGCACAGCATGTCCACCGTGGCGCTCGGCCTCAGTGTTGCTAGCCTCATAGCTGGCTTTTCTGCCACGCACTGAGCTCCAGGATTTATAGTTTTTTACATTGTGTGTTAGGGTTTTAGCTATTTACTCATTTTCCTCTGGTTTTCTGGCTGGTAGCCTGTACACTGTATTCTCATCAGAACGTTTGGAATGTTAGTAGCATGTGCAGTGCCTTCATTGAACCAATCCTTCCAGCCTCCTAGAGCAGAGATTCTCACTCTGTCGCAACGCTGTTGCAAACACTGTTGCAAGCTCTTTTTGTTTGGGTTATGCTGCTGACTGCTTTCCAGAAACTTGTCATCACCACATTACCGTTTCCTGTGTGCTTATTGCTTTAATCTGGTGGTCTTTGGTTTGCATATCCAAGTTGCTGCTGTCTGGTTCAAAACACTAGATTCTTGTTTTGGTATTTCTGCCTCTGGTGTCCAGCTTTTAAACTCAGCAGAAATGCACAGATTAAATTTTTATGTCTGTCTTGATATCTATCTTTATCTTTTCCCCTTAATAGGCTATTGAGGAGGAAGGGGGGAATCCTGATGAAATTCCAGTGGTTTCAGAAAATATGAAGAAAACTCCAAAAAGAAGCAGCAAAGGTACAGGGCAGTTAGAGAGGGTCTCTATCCCATCCCCCTTGAGTTTTCTAGCAGTTTTTAGTCATGAAATGGAAGCCTGCTAATTTTTTTTTTTCCCAGAAGTCTGCTTTTTCTTTTGGAAAAGTGCTTGATTTAGTTTTGGCACTGTTGCTGAATGTTTTGCCGTCTCAAAACTATAGCTAACATTTCTTTCTGGAGCTAGATTTGAGTAAAACTAGTTCTCTGGAAGAAATTAGACACAGTTGAATCTTCTGTTCCTTGGTTCTTACCTTTGATACTATATGTTACTGTTTTTCTTTCCCATATTTGTGTTCAGGATTCAAGAGATGGACAGTATGGTATTAAGCTTACCAATCATTTATTGACAGAAAAATCTCATAATTTAATAAGGCAAGAATTGGTCCACTTGAAAGATCTTAGTTGGTTCTCAACATTCTCTGAAATTTGTAGCAGGAATAACTAAGTAATGCTGAAACAGCATCGTTGTCTTTAAAACAGTTAATGTTCTTAGGTGAATACCTTTAATTTTAAGAAATATGAGGGTTTCTTTTTTAGATGGAAATGCAGAGCTGCTAGCAAATTCAGAATAACCTCTGTAGTCTGTTACGCTTATGCTTCATAGCTAATAGCAGTCTCATCTTTCTCCTCAGAAGAGCAGTTCTTAATCAGTATGGGAAATTGGATATGTTAAGGCATTCTCTCTGCATGTTTTTTCTAGTGGTGAGACGTAGGCAATAATTTTTAAAAAATCTGATATTTTTCTAAAATTAATTAGGCGAATTTGTTCTTACTTTGTAATCAAGTAACGCTGGAACTTTTTAGTAGAGCTGAGCATAATAACTAGTTTAGATGAAAGATTTTAATTAAGTTATTAATTTTTATTTATACAACATGTAAATTTGTGAGATGAAGGTCAGGTGTTTAGAAAACTAATTCCTTTGACTCAGATTGTTGTCGCATCCAGTTTGGACCAATATTGCAATTGCTTACAATGCAAAATGTGAAATCTTGACAGGAAAGAGAACAAATGTTACAACTGCAGGTAAAACCAGAGATTTTTTCAAGTCTTGGAAAAATACTTGAAGTATACTGTAGCATGTTTTTTAGTGTTGGGATGGAAATAGATGAGATGTTCCTCTCTGCTCTAAAACCCCTTTCCCTTTTTTATTGTAAGGTGCTTGTTTTTTCTGAGGACAATAACATTCTTAAAGGATGAAACAGCTGCTTAGTTCTGAGTTGTAGTGCTGAAACTACCATGGTGTTTTCTGTAATGTCTGGTATTATGTGTCCAGATGGAGCACTGCAGTAATGCTTACATGTAGAGTGGGGTTTTTTTTTTTGTTGTGGGGTTTTTTAGTTGTGTTTTACTGTTTTGTGTTGGGTTTTTTTGGTTTAGTTGCTTTTTTCTTCTTATCTTGTAGTAAATGTCTGTAAAGAAATGAAAGACTGAGGTAATACATTATGCAATCTCTGCTGAGCCAAATGTTCTGGGGAGCGTACAGCAGTGTGTCTTGAACTCATGACAGATCTCAGACTACAATGTGTTTATCAGTTACTGAACTGGGGTGGTATATGAACACTCAGCTGTTGAAAATCGGGGAAAAAGCAGATAACTAAACTGAATAGAATACCAACTGAAAAAATGAAACTTGAAGGATACATATTGCTACTTTCTTTTCATTCTAACAATCATAATATTGTTAGGACGTAGGCCAGATGAAGAAGGAGTGGAAGATAATGGCCTGGAAGAGGATTCGGGAGATGGACAGGTATGTGTGTCTGTGTTTGAAGCAAAGTTATGATAGCATTGCTTTCAAGTTACAACGACTATATATATATATACTTTTTTTCTTTTGCAGGAGGATATTGAAGCAAGTTTGGATAACTTGCAGGATATTGACATGATGGATATTAGTGTGTTAGATGAAGCTGAAATAGATAATGGCAATGCTGTATATTGCGGAGAGGATTACTGTGCTGATAATATTCTTGACTCACTGTCTGATAGTAAAGAAAATACTGATGCAGAAGTGAAAGAACTTCCAGATCAGCCTACACAATATGCTGTAGGTAACTTGGAGGCATCCCCACAATTTTCAGAAATTAAAGAAGAAGCAAGAGAAATACCAGTAGTGATGGTATGCATCTCTTATGTGTGTGGAATCAGATTTTTTTCCTTTTTTAATTTTTTTTTTTTTTAACTAAACAGCAAAACAGTAGTTAAGGAGTCTTTGAAATAATTTGAGGCTCTACAAGTTCTCACGGTCATTGCTTTTCCTTCTGTGTGTTTGTGGAAATAGCATTCTTGATTTTGAAATGCTCAGAAGTTGTTTGTACACATACGACTGTACAAATTAATAGTAATGCAGAAAGCGTTCATTTTAATCATGCTTTGTACTCTGTTTCACCTTATGTTTACGTTCTCGTGTTCCTATATTTCCTTTATTTGGGAGGATAAGTTAGGCATAAAAATGCTGTAGCCTTGTTTACTTCAACCTAACAGCGACATTCTGGGAACTACGTTATAGACCATTTTTCTGTTAAGATAGGGTCTCACAGTTACTCAGTCGTTCAAAGTATTTTAATGTTGCCTTTCCGTGTTTGTCTGGTTGCTCCACTGCTTATATGGCATTGTCCATCTACAAGATAATTGTTTTTTCCCCACAAAGTCCTCAAATGTACAACAAAGCATTTGAAGAAAGTTACTTCTCTCCCATCTAATAGAAAAGCATAGCTATTTGTTTGTGCACATTGCGTCATCTGAAGTCGAGTGGTTTCTCCCACCTCTGACTCTCAAAGCTCTGGAAATAAGCTTAACCCCCTATTCCTGCCCCAAACAAGTCAAATAGAAATACCCAGACAGCAGTTTCTTTCAGTGACTAAACTACCAGAGTCCAGGTCAGGTCCTACAGTTGTCCTTTATTGGTAAAGAAAACAGTTATCGAGTTGCATAGACCTTTTGACTCTGTGTTGTAAGTAAGAGACAAAGAGTAAGAGAAAGTTTGCTCTTGAAATCCCTGTCCTTAAAAGATTATTGTGAGCTGACCAAAGTATTTGAGAGGTAACAAGAAAGGTTATTCGGTTAGTGGGGATTGGGAAGAGGTGTGGGAGGTCATTAGCCTTTTTTTTACCCTATAGGTTATTTTGGTTGCTAGATATATTTGCTTAATATCCGTTATCAGTGAAAATAAAATAACTCAATTTCTCATTCAGGTTTCATTCACGATACCATTCTTTTATAGATGACTAAATGCCTTCTATTTCCTTTTTAAAGGTAGAGATTGAAGATGTTGGAAACAGTTTAGATGCTTCTTCAGCAGATTTAACTGTAATAAAGGTAAATGGTAAACAATTTTTCTTCACAAACAAAAAGACATAATATATGCCATGTAAACTGTAATCTGAAACAGTATGTGTACAGGTAGTACACAGTAGGTGCATTCTTACTCTGCAAAGAATAGGAACTAATGCCTTTCTAATTTAATCACATGGACAAAGATACATATGTCTATCAGGTCATGTGTATGTATCATCCTGAGTTTGGATTCTTTTTATCTGTCATATGAAGCAACTCAGTATCTTATCTTAGATACAATTTCCACTAAGTGTGTGCATATCCTGTGTTGGCAAGAAAGTTGAAACCAATCTATTCCTGAAATACTGGCCTTGTTTCTGCATCACTCGGTAGGTTAAGGACACTTCTAGCTCCAGGTGTTTCAATTGGTACCTGTTTTCAGAAAGAAGACTCTGTGAAGTAAACTCTAGAGAAGGGTAATAGGAAGATAAGCTTTGTTCTATGCTACTTCCGTTTGTTACTTTATTTACCCAAGTGAACGCGTATGCCGCGTCCAACAGGTTTCTGAATTTAAGAAACATTTTGGTTTTCACACATTTTATAAACTTGAAGACATAAAGAAGTAACAATAAATCTTCTTATGAGAACTTTATTTAGAAATCAACATTTTCAAGGCTGAAATAGGCTAAGTTATAGTAACTCTCTCTAAATTTTCTCAAGTCTGGTGAGGGGTGAGTGGTGTCATTCAGAATAATGTCGTGACATCTTATGATTTACTGAAAGTTCCCTATTTTTAAAATCTTCTTTTGCTGCAGGAACTCGAAGAGGTACCTTTGGAGCCAGGTACTGTGGTTTTTTTGTCTATTTTCTGTGGGTTTTTTGGTCCTCTTTTTTTTCCCCCACCTAACCTAATCTTAACACCCCCCCGTGATTAAAAAAGTCCGGGGCGTTAAAACAGTTTCATTCTTCGTGTAATTTTTTTGTGTGTCCCTAGTTGTGGCTGTTTTTTAAAATAAATTACTGTAGCGTATGTTATGGTGGACAATCCAGGTGATTGCAGGGTCATAGAGATTGGAAACCCAGTCATATCACCAGATCTGTGAAAAACTGCTTTTTGAAATCACGTATTTAATGCGGTGAAATACTACTTACAGTGGAGTTAAGGAATGAGCCTTGAAGATGTAAAGGTTCTGAAAACAGATCTTGTGATATCACCTTGTACTTGTAGTTCTATGAATATGGATAGAGGAGCGTAGATAACACAAAGCTTTGCTACAGAACAGAAGGTAACGAGTGACTGGACTTCAGAAGAAGGAATACACTGTCATCACAGGAATTTTCTACAGATTCTTTTCGCTTTCTGGACTGCAAACACACTCACGCACCA